CACTCTGAGTCAGAATTGACTTGATGGCAGTGAGTTTGGTTTGGTTTGGTATCCTAATGAATGCTGAGTGACCCTGAAGTGCTACTTACCATGTGAGGAGCCAGTTTCCTCAAGTTACTGAAAGGGGCATATTAAAATAATGTGTTTATTCTTCCATATTAGCCATCCCCTAAGCCAGTCATGTAAACAGGGAGCTGCATGGATTCTGGTTATCATATCTGCTTATTCATAAGATATTTTTGTTATAAAGAAATTTATATTCTTTTTTGATGTGAAGTTTAAAAAATATGTGGATTCTGAAGGATCACATGAAACCTTCAGCTTGAGAAGGGGCACAATTTAAGAGCTCTTGGATATGTGTGAGTTGCCTAGGGCACATCAGTCAGCTCTTGGGTTTGGCTTTTACAGTTAATATTAATGGTTTAAGCTTTTGGAAAAAGTCTTTTGACTATACATTTTACCTGTTGGTTTGCCCAGCATACCAAAATAAATAAATAAATAAATAAATAAAATCCAGTTGCCATGGAGTCAGTTCCAACTCATGGCAACTCCGTGTATGTTAGAGTAGAACTGTGTTCCATAGGATTTTCAATGACTCTGGTTTTTCAGGAGCAGAACACCAGGCCTTTCTTCTAAGGCACCTTTGGGTATATTTGAACCACTACCTTACAGTTAGTAGCCGAGTGTTTAAGCGTTTGCACCAACTGGGGACTTTTTAGTATATACAGTAAGCACCTGGTGGAAAGGATTTTGAGAGATTGAAACTGGTGGTCTTCAAGTGGTACCATGGCTGCTCATGTATCAATCATTTGCTCTACCTGGGTGCTTCAGAGAGCTAGTTATTTGTTACAGGAGTTCTTTTCCTGCACTATGAGCTATTGAATATTTTTGAGTAAGCTGAGGTACATAAAATCTATTGGTAAATATTTCTGATAGACCATGGTCCTCTCTCCCTTGAAAAACCCACAAAACTTTATTGGGAACTGGTGAGCCAGTGCTGTGAATAAAAGGAATTAATTTAGTCTTTCCCCTAGTTTTTTCAAAGAAGCAGTAGTTTTAAGGGTAGGGGATTGAGAAGGATTTTATAATAAAATAAGTAGAAAATGAGATATGCTCTATCCACCAATTGGTGATATATAATGCACATTAGCACGTTAAACTTTCCAAGAAATCCTGAAGAAGAACTACAGAAAGTTTAATAGCTTTGTTCAAACTTTTACAACCTTTTGTTTTTTGAGTAAACAATTCTTAGAACAAGTCTTACTCAGATCATATATTGGTGGGAAATTAGACCTTTTTTTTTTTTAAATTGTGATTTGGGTAAAAGTTTTGCAGAGCAAATTTACTTTCCATACAGCAGTTCACATACAGTTGGTCTCATAGTCATCATATAGGCTGAGGATCACATGGTATACCAGTCACTTGGACTAATTGTTTCCATGAATCTTTGTTTTTTTTCATTCTTCTTTGCTCTGGACGAGAAGAGAAGACCCGTCGTTGCATCTAGGTGGCTGCTTGCAAGCTTTAAAGATCCCAGTCACTTCTCGCCAAAGTAGGAGGTGGAACAGTGTTTGGTGTAGTGTGTTATGCCAATTGAGTTTGATGTAGACCATTGTTTTTGATGTACTTTAACATCAAAGCTTGGAGGAAAATGTGGTTCTTTGAACCCAAAGAAGTGTGAAGATATCCTCAAAAGTTGTCACACCTTCCTTCTCGTTGTTTGGCTATCTAAGCATATTGGTTATTAGCCATTTCTAGATTGTTCCTTGACATTGCATGCAGTTTTGGAGGAATATATCATTATGGAAGATGTGTAATGGTAATTTATGTAGAAGCCTGAATTCTTTTTTTTTTTTCTTTTTCCACTTTTGGATTAGGCATGTTATTCCTCATGGTTGTTTCATAAAAAATGCATGGATTGGTACTAAACATTTCTGGAAAATGGATACAAAACATTGGGGATGAGGATAATTCGCTGTGAATTTGGGTTGTTAGTTTTAGAGATGGGATGAGTTTATTTATCGTTGAAAAGGAATCCCACTGCTTGGGATAGATTTGCCCCTCCCTTACCCCGTAATCCTATTTGCTATCACTTGAGAGACAAGGAGAAGCAACTAAGGACCTTCATTTATCCAAGTGAATGAGCTCAACCCTTTACGTGGTAGATAACTTTTGTTTGAAAGTTGATGCCTTTAAAACATTCAGCCATTATTTCCAACAGCTGTCACAGATGGCTGAGTTTCTGAGCTGACCAGTTATGGGGCAAAGAAAGCACTGGCAAAATATACCTATTGATGATAATCACCTTTCCAAATCTATTTTATTACTACATCCTAATTTAATATCATTTAATTCTTATAACATCCCTATTACATACTTAAGGGAGAGTTGTTGTTCCTCACATCTGGAAACTAAGGCAAAAATTAAGTGACTTGCTCTTAATTCATAATGCTACTTTGTTTTAATTATGGGATCAAAACTACCAGGGCTGTTACCTGCTCTTTTTGCTTACTGCATTAACTGAAGTTTTATTTCTAAGTGTTTAAACAATTTAAAAAAATAAATCCTCATATTTTAATGGAAATTTTATGGCTTAGAAGACTTGGTAGCCACAAGAGACTATTACTGCTTGCTTTCTAGAGATAAAGAAAATGAGGCTTACAAAAATCAGCTTACCCAGTGTTAGTTATAGCTGTGACTAGAACTTAGCCCCTTTCTGTCCATTATTTCCCTGCTAACTAAAGAGCTCTGGTGGCATAGTGCCTAAGGCATTTGACTGCTAATCAGAAGGTTGGTGGTTCAAACCCAAAAGCCACTCTGCAGAAGGAAGGCTGGGCAATTTACTTCCACAAAAAAACAAACTCACTGCCAACAAGTCGATTTTGACTCATAGCAACCACCTTTGGGTTTCCAAGGCAGTGTATCTTTACGGAAGTAGATTACTTAGTCTTCCTTCTGCGGAGTGGCTGGTGTGTTTGAACCGCCAACCTTCTGATTAGCAGTTAAATGCCTTAGGCACTATACCACCAGCGCTCCTTTCAGAAACCCAAAGGGGGTCGCTGTGAGTTGGAATTGACTCCATGGCAGTGAGTTTAACCAAGCTATTGATAGACAGCATCTTTAGTATACACCAGTGGAAGTATATGATGACTAGACCTTAATCTAGTCCCAAGTCTTCAACTCTCTTGCTAGTATGTTTTCAGATTTTAGAGGATATCAAATTCTCCCAGATCTAGATTATAGACCCAAGTACACTGGTCCGCTTTGTTAAATGTATAGCTTGAATTAGATGCCATTTGGAGGCCTAAATAATAGGTCTAGAAAAAGTGACTAACCTTATTTCTCACTAGAGTTGGGGCTGAGAATATATACGAGCATTAGGACTAAAGCTTGAAGCAACTACATGTGACTCTCAGCAAGAACTGGCCTTTGGCAGGAACAGGAATCAGTCACATTAGATAGTAGCACTGGTTTGAGACACATTTAATTGTTTCTAGGCCCAGGTAAGGGACATGACAGTGTTGCCTAGGCTTGGCCAGTAAGCCCAGAATGATAGTGTAACAGAGGGGAACCCAGCAAAGATCCAGGAAACTTTGTAGTCAAGTTACTAACCTAATTAAGCAGAACCATCATGGAGTCCCTTGTTAACTATCTCTTATTCGTTCAGCAAGAGGCCTCTGAAATGGAAATAATGGACCATCCTAACCCTAGCTCAGAAACCATGTCAACCACAGAAGGCAGCTAAGTTTAAATTGGCTATTTCCATCAATTTTAAGAAATGATACTGCATCTGAATGAGAGCAAGGAGTTTCGTGTAGGACAGTGGTTCTCAAATGTTACAAAGGATAAAAATCATCTGGAGGGCTTGTTAAAACACAGACTGCTGGGCCCCATTCCCCAGAATAGTATTGGAAGTATTGGGAATACTCAAGTTTTCCTGCTTTCATAGGTCTCAGTGAGGGCCCAGGATTTTGCATTTCTAACAGATTTTCAAGTGGTGGTTGCTACCTGCTGCTGGTGGTGATCCTGAGATCACACTTTGAGAACTCCCGGTTTAGGAAAAGAAAATAAAGTGGGTATAATTGCTTAGTTTCTCCTGATGAAAGTTTTTACAGAGGAGGGACAGGGGGTGAACATTGAGGTTTCTGCTGTGCCAAGTCACTGTGCTTAGTGATTTACAACCGTTGTTTGATTTAACCCTTGAAACCACCCTGAAAAGTAGTTCTTTTTCCCATTATCTCCTCTCAACATACAGGTATTAAACTTACTAGACTAATGCTTAGTTTTAGGTCAGCTTTTTCTTATAACTCAAAGAATAATGTTCACATAAACCATTAAGAATGTGATTTTACTTAATGTTGAAAATATGCTAAATTCCACTGCTATTATGTATTCATTACTCTTCTTGTAGATTTATGAGAGAAATAAAATCCAGGTTAATTTAGTAGTAATGATTATACAGTAAATCAAATTAAATGTTGAGACATGTTCTTTCCTACAGAACAGAAAGGAATGAGAGCTTTAAGACTAAGTATAATAATACATCTTTCAGATGGCTAGAAACATAAACCTATGCTAATTTTGTCAGGTGTCTTTTTAAAACATCCGATCAGTTATTGACCGACCCTATTTTAGAAACAAACAAGGGGAGGAATGCTGAATTTCTGAGTAGTAAGAACTAAGACTGACCAAATGCTTGATATTGCAGCCACAAGATTTACTTGTTTAAAGTGTTCTTTGTTAATGTAGTTTTTGAAAGGTCAACTTGTTTTTAATGGAGCTCAGTGAAGTTACTTTGTGTTGTTGTCTGATAGATTCACACAGAATTATTAAAGAAGAAGCAAAGATTTAAGCAGTTGAATTGAAGGCATTCTGAGGAAACCTGACATTTATTGTAAACATCATCTGTGATCCTGAAGTTAAAAGTAAAGCTGGAAAGGAATTTACAAACAAGAAAAAAAAGAAGTTTAGAATTGGACTCACAGGATCTGGGCTTGGAAATGCCTCAGGTAAGTCATGAAGAGTAGGTGCAAAGTTATGTGTTTGTTTTCCTGCCGCAGGAAGTCAGGACCATTGGTCTGTAAGTTCTCTGACTTTTAACACAACCCGGCATACTGCATTTTAAGGACAGTTTATTTCTGATCTCAGCTAGTTTTGAGTACATGTCCTTCCTATTTCTATTGCCTTCTGTTTCTTCCTTTGCTATAGCTTTGAAGTTTAATGAGTTTGACACAGGGAGCAAGGTGAATGAAAAGTAGGTAAAAAGGTGGACAGATCTGCTGGCTTTATGGGGACTAAACCAACTCCCCTGAAAATCTGTCACAGAAATCTTGTTTTTATCTCCTCTATCTTCTTTCTATTTCCCAATGCATCCATCTCTGCCAGCTGAATTTAGAAGTAGCTAAGAGAAAATGATGAGGAGACTTAAATGAGTCTATGTGTCTCAGTCAGTATGTCAATCTCTTTGTGTAGTGTGCATATATTTCACAAACCATGTATAAGAACAATTATGTCTATCTGGTGAGTGTTTGGAATTGATTGATTTGGTTTTAAGGCAATCATTGAAACAAGACGCGAATAACTGTTAGCCCCTACTCTGCATCACCAAATTCCTTCCCTTCCTTCTCCATTGATTAGCTCTTACTTCCCCCTTTTTATCAGTGCTGAGGAGAGACCTAGAAACGAGGGGGCAGGGCAGGGGCTCTTAGGTGCCTTTTTGTAGGACCATCCAGAGCTAGCTCTTAGACACAGGATCAATAAGCCGCTGGGGCTGACTATCCAGTGACTGAAGGAGGCAGGCAGCAGAGGCAATGAAAGGAGATTGCTAGCTGACATTAGAAAAACCAGAGGCCTACCTTCACCCCACCCCCTGTGCCAAACTGACAGCATATTTCCTTGTAGAACTCTTCCCCCACTTCCCAAGGTTTTATTTGCCTTTCATTGAATACTTGAATTCAGGGCTATAAAACACTTAATTGCCTCAAACTACATTTCTCTCGGAAGAAAAATCCTTCAGTCTGGAGGGTTGGAGAAAATAAGAGAAAGAAAAGGATGGGATGGGGGAGGACCAGTGAAGAAAAAGCATGATGAGGAAGTATGTGAAAAGGCAAATCTGGTAGGTACAAGATATGTGAATAGAGAAGTGTAAACGAATAGAAAGAAAAAATAAATAATTTTTCATTTCTACAGAAACATGTAGAAGAAAGGCTGCGGTGTAGTAAATTACTTAGTGTGGCTTTTCTGCCCATAAGTCTTTGTAAACTACAAGGTGGGATTTTCTATGAGCAACTGAGGAGCTCCTGATTGCTGAAGTTGTCCACCTGGAGTATTTCTGTTGGGAGTGGCACAAAACAATGTTCTGGGAGGTGCCTATTCTCTCTCAGGTGCTTAG